CGTGAGTGAGCTCTAACTTTCTTTAACATAGCTCTTACCAATTGTGAGTTACACCGACACATATAGTATGCCCATTAACATTTATTGCCTGGGGCAATTTTACAGTAAACAACATTGTTAAAAAAAGTATGACATTGCACATGTGGTTATCGATATGTACATTCCCACAAAATTTCATGGCTTTATCTCTTTCGCTTTTTTAGTTATGCTGGTTGAAGAAGAAGAAGAAGAAGATGAACAAAACTCCCTATCATAGCCCCATACATCTATGATGCTAGGTACCATGTCAATCCCTATCACTAAGTACGGTAGTACTTAGTATATAGGGATTTGAACAAAGTAATGAAATTTTATAATAATGTATATATCCGTCACCGAAAGACACTGGTCATACTTATTTCTTTGTAAACAACAACAAATAACCCCGGGCAATACATTATAATGGGATCACATGTGTCAGTATAACTCACAAATGGTAAGAGCTATTTGAATGAAACTTTGTACACATAATGTATTCAATCACCAACATTAAAATCACAACAACACATGTTTGCAACAAATAGCCTCAGCCACTTTTCTTTAAATTTACTTCTTCACTTCTCAAACTTTCCAATGGTAGCACACAGAGATGAAACTTGGTATGTATGCCTTATATATCATTTCCGTGACGATTACATGTCACCATGACGACCGCATATTGGGTGAAAAACCCTCAGGCAATATTCTTTAATATTACTTCTTCACTCCTCAAACTCGCTAACGGTATATACCATGCATGGAGGTGAAACTTGGTACGCATGTGTGTAACATCGTTTCCATGACGACCACAACAACAAATAGCCTCGGGCACTCTTGCACGCATTGAGGTGAAACTTGGTGTATTACATCGTTTCCATGACAACTACAACCTCAGGCACCTTTCCATAAAATAATTACTTCTTCACTCCTCAAACTTGCTAACTGTAGCATGCATGGAGGTGAAACTTGATGCGCATGTGTATTACATCGTTTCTATGACGACCACTACAACAAATAGCCTCAGGCACAATTACTTCTTTACTCCTCAAAAAACTTGATGCGCATCTGTATTACAGCGTTTCTATGATGACCACAACAACAAATAGCCTCAGGCACAATTACTTCTTCACTCCTCAAACTCGCTAACGGTACCACGCATGGAGATGAAACTCGGTACGCATGTGTGTAACATCGTTTCCATGACGACCACAACAACAAATAGCCTCAGGCACTTTTCTTTAAATTCACTCCTCAAACTTGGTAAGGGCAGCACACATGGAGATGAAACATGGTATGCATATCATTTCCGTGACGACAACAGGCATTTTTCTCTATAGAGATAATACGTAGTAGTATATAAAAATGAGTGGAGACAAGTAAATTTAAAATCCTGCGAATTTAAAAAAAGAGGCATATAGGGATGGTATAAAAAGAAAGGGAGACAAGATAGAGATGGGATACATGAAGCATTTAATGAACAGATTTGAGTACGCTGACACACCCAACCCATCACACAATCCCTATATTGTTGCCTAGGTGAAGTATTAAACATTCACCATTACAATACTCAGAACTTACAATACACTACTGAGTAACCAACACCCTCCAAGTGGGGAATGTGGCAGTATAAATGTTACTAAAAACAACAGGGACGTGGTGAAAGAAGTAACCTTTAGCCCCTATAAGAGTAGCACACCAGGCAACAATATAGGGATTGTGTGATGGGTTGGGGGTGTCAGCGTACTCAAATCTGTTCATTAAATGCTTCATGTATCCCATCCCTATCTTGTCTCCCTTTCTTTTTATACCATCCCTATATGCCTCTTTTTAAAATTCGCAGGATTTTTAATTTACTTGTATACTAAGTACTACCGTACTTAGTGATACTCAACATGTATGGGTATGTAGTGTTAATAATTATTACAGTAGGACAAATGCAACACATTTTTAGTGTGGGCAGACAATTACGAAATTTCATTCTGTTTCAATTTCATATATACAATTTATGGTATGTGTGACATCGCCGTCCTCCATATAACAATAGAAAGCATTCCCTGTGGAAATGAATAGCTAGGTAGGTTGGCATCAAATACACTACACCACATACAGTCGTTCATTATCGTACATACTGACAACTAGTGCAGCCACCAACTAAGTGCTGTCCAACAATGTTTGAGACTTGACGATATACATCATAACCATCTCTGCTTTCATTTTGTTGTAGAGTAACGTAGAGGTTATGCTTAAGAGCAGTGCATGGGATGTAGGGAATGTTGGGGATCTCAACATGGTCTGAAGTAGTCGGTAAAGGGTGCTGAGCATCATCACTTGAATCTTCCTCCTCAACTTCGAGCAAGCCAGTATAAAGCAGTGGCGTCATGTTATTCTCTTGACGAGATTGGGTGATGGTCCCAACTGAGAACAAATTCTGTTAACAATTTGTTAATTCTAGAAACAAAAACTTCATGCAGGCAAAAAATATCCACATCATTGTCGAATCTAAAACTTGATCACTTTCTAGCCTGCCAAAAATTTCACGATACACATCAACAACTCCTCGACGCACATCTCTCCATAATCGTATTTTACGGTACTCTTTGCGTGGGAGTGGCACACTTTTTTCCGGTGCCGTATTAGCGAGAGTCGTACCAGCGACTACGCGGGCTGCCCGCGAAAAGAGCTTCACGCGGTACCGTGAAATCAGTCTGCGTAACTGGATATGCGTCTAGTAAACGTGCAGAGTACTTGTAAATTTGTCGGTTTTCGTTTCAGTAAACTTTCCGACACTACGCTAGCTATTCCGGACGCTCTCCATGTACTATATATAATACGGTGCAGGTGCTTGAGGTTCTGGTTGAGAACGGAATCAACAGAATTTAAAAATGTACATTACTTAATTAACTCTTTGGGGTCGAATATAATTTTTACGTAGCGGCTTTACGCGCAAGCGTATTGCGCGCAATGCGCAACAGCGCGTTGCCACACCCTCCGCGTGCAATTCACGCTATACGCAAGGGCTAGGAATGGAGAAGACGCTCGTGTGTGTGTTTTTCGCTGCAACGGAGAGTTCATCTGAAGCTTTTGACTCTTCTTGGAGTTCAGGAAAGCCAGTGGTCAAGGTATGTCATTGTAATACGCAGGTAGCATATGACTTTCTAACACACTGACTGAATTTCGAACTAGTGTCTGAATTTGTAGATGCCGTTGTTTTGAAGGGTGTCTGAGATTGTATTCTGTTTTGTGTGAGCCCCATTTTGTGTTCAGGGTGGGTAGTGCCGCTTTGTCTTCAGGGAAGTGTGCTATAATTAGAGTTAGCTACATACACGTCATTCGCGTTGTATGTGGTGTCATGATCTGTCAGCTAGCCAGCACCTAGCATGTTGTTTCCGTCGGGAATCCCCTCTTCGTAGGCTTCATGGGCATGTACTGAATCATGGAGGACCGACCTGTGTGCATGTATATGTGTATTTGTGAACAGATTGTGTTTTTTACCCTTGTAGCCAATCATCGCCTCATCAACAGTGTTTTGGGGGTGAGGGCTGTAATTCTCCTTGCACTTCCGCTTCATGTGTGTGATGATGGGGAGAACCTTCTGCAGACAATGGTACCCAGGCTCATTCTGTGAAGGTAAGCGGGTGTTGTCGACGGAGTGCAGGTAGCGAGATATCTGTTCGAAGCGGTCGCGTGTTTTCGACGCAATGAACGTGTTGCGCAGCTTGTCGTCAGTGGACCAGTAGTCACGGATCTCGGGAAGGCGATTTATCCCCATGACTATCATGAAGCCAAGATAGGCTTTCAGTTCTTCAACTGAGGTTGTCCACGTGGCGTTGCTGTATGCATTTTATTACTGGGATAGTACAGATCTGTTTGTGTACTGTAAATTACTCATACCATTCTCTGGTCTGCAGGGTCCAAAATTGTCGCCCTGCATGATTCTCTCTCAGTTTCTCTTCCCCTCCCTCTCCCCCTGCCCCTCCCCCTCCCTCTCCCCCCCTCTTCCTCTTCCTCTAGGTCTCCCTCTCTGTCCCCCTTTCTCTGTCATGCTTGTCTCTGATTGAGCTGCAATGCCATCCTCCTCGTTCGTCCAGTCCACATCACTCTCACTACTCTCTGAGCTCTCCATTTCTCCCGGACTACTGGCAGCAGGGATTGGCTCTGGATCTACAAGATTTTTACTAGCTCTAACCTTTTTAGTCTTATTTTTTTGGGCTATTCTTGCGTGCAAAAAAACATACCATCATGCATCTGCTCAGATTCTGACTCATGGACATCAGAGTCCCACTCCATCCCCAGGTCATCATCACTACGGACTCGGGGTCCTCTCCGGCGAAGAACTGGATCACTGAGATGCGCTGTGCCACCGCGTGGGTGTAGCTAGCAGAAACTAGGAGGAGCTGAAACGAGCAAACAGGCGTGGGTGTAGCTAGCGTTGCAGCGGCGGTACTGCGCAAGCCCGCGCGTTTGGTCATGATGACGTATGTACCCAAAAGGTCACGGTTTTAGTCTATTTGTGGGCAAAGTAATATCCAAAAAGCCTCTAAGCACGAGTGAAAACGCTGGAGGAAGATGCCGACTCCTGCAAGCCGGCGAAGGGTCGAGGTAAGCGTTTTCACGGATACCCTACTCCGCGCGGAACGAATCCATTCCGCGTTATCACGCATTGACGCATATTTGCGTGCTCGGCCCCAAAGAGTTAAAGAGATATCTACCTCAATGTCACTGTCACTACTCTCTACTTCGTCAAGTAACGTGTCCGAGAGTTGCAAACAGCGACGAGATGCATGTCTCAGAGTGGATGAGAGGGGTGTGGTGTTACATGACGACGGAGAAGATGTCCCAGATGAAACTGGCGTGGATGAGGCTGAAGAAACTGGGGTTGACGTAGAAGCTTGGTAGTCCTGTCTGATCGCCAAAGATGGTGCATTCGGCTTCGGTAGTCGCTTTGAAGGTGAGCGTATAACTCTTGGGAATGCTTTGAAAGAAGCCTTTGGTTTCTTTGAGCAGCTTTTCTGACGCATATCAAGTTCTCCACTAGCTTGTTCAGACCAGAAAAGACATTACTAGAAATATATAAAATTTCCCACATACCTAATGAACGCTACTCTGGTGTGTGCTTGCAAGCCTCGCCACTTGATTCATGAGCACTCTCATCTGACATATATGAAGGATCAATGGAATTCCATAGTACCGTTTCTTGATTTCGCTCTCCGTTTGTATAGCTGAAAAAATAAAGTATTTCAGGGATATGGCAGCTAAGCGTTCCGCACGCGGCAGGTTTTATGTGTGCGCATGCGCGTAAATCCTTAGCCACACCCATTTCACGAGTTGGTTTTGGCTCAAAGCGGAGGAGACCAGCGGTATGGCGAAGCAGCCGGCCGGTGGCGCTACTTGTGAGAGCTCCGTGCGTAGTAAGCATAGAAAAACAGGTATTGATCCTACATTGGCTAGTGATTTTCCTTGGATGGTCATAGTTCATAGTCAAGGGGAGGGAGTGTTATGTGCGCTCTGTCGAAAGCATAATCGTCGTCCTGGAAAGGTTCCTGTTGGCAAGGCGATCTGGGTCGATCTTCCATGTAAAAATCGAACGCGTCAGAGTCTGGTAAACCATACAAAAAGTGCAAGTCATCAGCTTGCTGTTATGATGGAGGCCGATCTTAGATCATCAAAGAGAGACGGGGGCATAGCAATGGCTATAGATAAGGTGGTTTCAGCAGAGAGGAAAGCCTTCATTGGGGCCCGGAAGTGTATGTATTTTTAACAAAAAGGGAGATAGCTCACAGCACTAATTTTGGGCCACTGCTAGAACTTGCGAAGTCACTTGGTGTAGCATACCTCCAGGATCTTCAGCTTGGTGGCAATGCCCAATACACATCAGAACGCTTCATACAAGAGGTAGTAGTTCAAGCCCTTGGGGATGCTATAACTGACCCAATAATTTTCAGCATACAACAGTCTCCCTTTTTTCTGTTTGTATTGATGAAACAACTGATGTATCTGTAATAAAGGAGCTGATTGTATACATCAGGTTCATATGTGATGGTGCCGTCAAAACTAATTTTTTGAAACTCCTTGAATTGCCAAATGGAAAAGCTGTTACAATCACTGATAGTGTTTGTGGCGACTTAGCTTTTGACATGCAAAAGTGTTGTGGTCTAGGGAGTGATGGGGCTTCAGTGATGCTTGGGTCACGTGGTGGAGTTTCAAAGCTTCTAAAAGACCAAGTTCCTTTTCTTATTGCTAACCACTGTGTAGCACATAGATTAGCATTAGCAGCAGGCCAATCAGCTAATGTGATTTCCTACTTTAAAGATATACTGGACCAGCTTTATCTCTACTCGGCTGTTAGTTCTGCTGGGTTGAAGCAAATCCAGGAGATCTTGAATGATCCCCAGATAAAGCTTACCCAAGCCAAGGATGTTCGCTGGCTGTCTCATGATAAGGCTGTGCAAAACCTGCGTAGATGTTTGCCTTCTGTCATTGCCAGTGTTGAGAGGGAGGCAGAAGAACGAAATAATGCAGAAGCTGCAGGTTTGGCTGCGTTTGTTAAAACATACAAGTTTGTAGCAGCTTTATACATGTTCTCTGACGTTCTTCCCCCCACTAGCTGCTTTATCTCGTGCTTTTCAGAAACATGACATAGACTTTACTGTTGTTAGACCACTTGTAATAGGCACAAAAGCTGCTATCGATGCTCTCTACCAAACACCAGGGGAGCGTTTCAGCAGTTTGCCTACCATTCTGCCTGAACTTGAAGAGTATGGTGTTCAACAGAGCACAGATTATCTAGTTCAGCATTTCAAGCAGAATGTGTATAGCAAGTATCTTGCTACTCTTTCTCAACATATAACACATAGGTTTCCCGATATGTCATTGCTAGAGGGATTTAGTGTTTTCAACCCTAGCACTATACCTCAAGAGCTTTCTCTCCAACCGAATCACAACAGAGACAAAATACAACTACTCATTGATCACTATGGCCCTCACTCTGTAATAGACAGTGAGATTACTAAAAATGAGTTAAAAACGTTCAACAGTGTTGTAGCTGCGACTCCTGATCTAAAGCAGCTAAAAATGCGTGATTTAATGAGCCATGTGATCAAGACCCCTGAATTCAGTACAATGTTTCCCAATCTAGTTAAGTTAGCTGCAATTGGATTACTCTTACCTGTATCAACTGTGGATTGTGAACGTGGATTTTCGACTCTTTCAAGAGTTAAAACAAAATTGAGAAATCGCCTATCAAACAAAATTCTTAATCATCTCCTAATGATTTCAATTGAGGGACCCCATCCCACTGACTTTCCCTATGATGCTGCGTGTGATATATGGGCACAGATGAAAAAAAGAAGAATAAATGTAACAGAACACTAGTGCACCTACGTAATCATCCATTCATTCATTCATAATTTTATTGTTCTCTGATATCACTTATAAAACTGTTATATGTAACCACCTTATGTGATTGGCTGCACAAGCGCATGTGATGATGAAAAGGGTGTGGCGTCTCGTGGCACGCGGCAGTGGCAACGGTCTCTCGTTGGAAACGGCGCGGCGAGGACAGTGTTAAAGATAATAGCCACCTCGACACATTTACACTTCAAGTTTAGTTACCTGGAGATACCCAATCAAGCTTGTATGTACTTGACTATGTAGGCCTGGCAAGAGGCCATATTATTTGCCAGATTGCACCAGAAACACTCTCATAATGTCCTAAATTCCTGGGGGAGAATGCCCCCAGACCCCCCTTGGGGGCGCACTTTGTGCACTTCATCAGCGATGCTCCCCATAAGCCTAACAATTATCCTGGGGGGAACACTGATGACCTTTGTTCAAAAGCACACGTATCTTGTACAAATTATGTGTTCTGTGGGGCAGCCCTTGTCAGAACCCCTTTAAAAGGTAACTCTTCTAAACAGTTTACAGTAGTGCATATGTACGTATGTACGTATATGTACACATGTGTGGTATTATTATATAGACAACAACAACAGGAGTTTCAGAGGCTCTCATATTTGCTTTATTTAGAGCAGAAAAGCCCTTTTACTCTGTCTCTCCAATACCAGTCATCATTCTCTTGAGCTATATACGCAGCTTATACAAGCACCTGACCAGCAATCGTATTTTCAGCCTCACAGACACAGTGCAACTATTACGTCGATCTCTGCAAAAGTGTGTCTCTTCTTTGTTCAGAGCGACTAATGCTCTTTGGTTACACTACCATTATAAATACCACACGCAAACACACATGACACACACATTTCTTTGGGTGATGAACAATTAATAATGCTTTCAGTTTTACTATACTAGGTGCTAGGCTAGGTAGGATCCGTGCATCTCACTCTCGATGTCAACTCCACAGCAACACTTGATATTTTCTACCTTAATCTAGTTCAACATCTGATTTGTAAATTTTCGAATTTATGATGGGCTTTTCTTGTAAAGAAGCTATAACAGGGCTCTTATACACGGTCTGATGTAACCCAGTAGATAGAGCTATCCATGCCAGCGCTTACAAATGTACACAATTTGATCTTGCCGGCTTTGAGTCAAGTACATTTCATTTCAGCTGCCTACTATCTGTAGCTCTCCAATAGCACAGTGGCAGGGGATTTGCCTGGAAAGCGAGAGGTGGTTGGTTGGATTCCCACTGGGGGTGCTGGCTGCTCTTTCTCATGTCTACCCCCTCTTTCTCTCTATTTGACTTGTACGCACTGTTTGCTACTCTTATTCTACGAGGTGTGAGAACGGAGTGATGTGTGGATTAATTTGATGTAACCCTGGGCTAGCCCTCACGAACTAATGTGTTGTAACGTCTGAAAAACATGTTTTGTTTATCCCATCTCCCATCTCTATCTTCCTTTCATCCCTGTATTCCTTTACTTTTACGAATTACTACCATACTTAGTTCCACTATCTGTCTTTTCTAGTCGTGGGGACAGTGGACATCGCAGTTCTTCCTCCAGTAACCCAACCCTTGGCAGCAACTGTGGGGAGATGTACAGTAACCTTGGTGACCTATTTGTGGGTGGAGCCTTTGTGGGAGAGTCTCAACGTAGACATTCTTTTGCTGAGGGAGACGAACTTATTGTCATTCGTGGAACAGGAACCAGGTGAGCCAAACAGTATTATTTATTGCATGCTATACTTTTCCATATGCCAAGAACCTTCCTGTACTGAAAGATTGAGACCTCACAGAACTATTTTTCATAGCTGCATTTTATTATAGAAGCTGGGTGAGTTTGATAATGCCAGGAAGAAACTAGGAAGTTAGTACTGTACGCGGGTTTTATACGTGCAGTATCACTCACTCACATGCATGGTGTAACGGAAACAGAGGTGTCCCAAGTTTAACGCAGTCACAAATGCATTTACATCCGGAAACGAATAAGATGACACTCAGTGCGGCTGCTTATGGCACAAAACGTGTTTACACGCATTTACACCCGGGGGGAGCGAACGAGTTTGTATGAGTACATATTGGGAGGCACAATAGAAATACAGCAATGCTAGAGTGTCGTGGGTTCAAGACAGCTCTTTTTCCTATATAGGGAGGTCACATCGGATTATACACGCAGAGGCGAACAAGTTTACACGCGGTCACAAACACATTCGCGTTATACCTTGCATCTGAGTGGTACTGTAGTTGTCAATGTACTGTGTACAGCTTTTCTACTTAGCAGGCAATGTGGGACTCTTTCCTCTGTTGCAAAGCACATTTTACTCAACCTCTGATTAATAATTCAAGCCACGTAATAATTACTTAAAAGCACTAAAGTGCAAACCCTATGTTTATAACTTGTCTGCCGCTACTAGCGCGTGGAAAGGATTAGCTACACTAGTAGATAGTTGATGCACACCTTTCGTTGTTACTTCTAGCCTCCAAAGTACACAGAGCAGGTGGATAATTGTGAGGTAAACCAGTGTAGTTATGCATATCGCTTGTTTTCACGACATATCTCTCGAATGCAGTCGTTTCAAGAAAACACCATTTTATTTTTTAGGCTCTTAAGCCGTTGGTATTGCTCATAGGTTGCCTCGTAGACTCTAGTGCCAGACTAGGCGTACACACACACACAGACAGACCAGATACCATAACTCTCACTGCGCATGTATGCCGAGGGTTAATTGTGCGAATGTAGCTCCCTTTTTTCCTTTAGGACCATCTGGGTATCGTTTTTTGAGTTAGAGATGTGATTTCTATGATGCTTCTTAGCTCAGTTTTGTATATACTGCAGCCTTTCACTTTTATTGTGCTTTCATATACATGTTTAATACAGGTCTGTGTATATAAACAGATTTTTGTTTGTACAAACCAAGTGGGAACTTTACTCCCTGAGTAGCCAATGTTCCCCCAAGCTGGTATCCCAACCTGTTTTCAAATTTGAGTCACGTGGGCTGCTTTCACGAAGGAATACTATATGTGTATAACATGCGTTGCACTACTAGTTAATTTGTTAGGTAACAGTGGGAAAAGCAACAGCTCAACGTAAGTATATCTGTAGAAAACTCCATCTTGGCCTGACTTTGTTTACAGTGTTTCTTCCTTATCTTTTGTGCACTATGTAGCTGTGCTTCAACTTGCTTCCTTGGTGATGTATAGAATCTTTGAGTCTGTCTTGTACACTGGTGATATTTTGGTTCCTCCTAGAATATTCAATACACAGCTGAGACTAGTGGTGCTATAGATCAAGGAGTGTCAGATTAGCAGGGAAGTGTAATTTTGCCTACCTGGACTTGCTCACACAGAATAGAGAAAAGAAACCACTAAAGGTTTTGTTTTCTACCAGAGACTCAATCATCCCTGTGGGAGGTGGGACGGGCAGTGCAGACTACAACAACGTTGGTCCAGAAGGTCTGTCTCTGTCTGGAGAAGAGAAGGAGCGGTCGTCAACAGTGACAGGACAGGAGGAAGCTCTCTACACTAATCCTAACAAGGTGGTGGCTACACTCAATCTGGAGGTCGGGAGCAGCAAGAGAGCGGTGAGCATCATATAAAATGTATGAAAGGTATAAACCCTCGGTGCACTACGTGTGTGTGAATATTGTAACACACGCATTTGCAAAAGTACCTAAGTGATCACACAGTTCAGCTATGCATTCTCTCATTCTTTCACTGGCTGGTGACATACTTTAGTAGGTGGTGGCTATGTAGCCTCTACAATTAAAAAGCACTGAAGTATATACAAACCCTCGGCGCACTACCCATGTGCAATATCACTTATTGCTGGGCTGTGCTTTCATTATGCATTTCTACCGCTATTAGCTCGCGGAGAGTCTGACACTGGCCGTAGATAGCATGCAGGAGTCGATACACGCCTTCCATTGTGACTTCTTGTGCCTCAAAGGTACACAGAGCAGATGGATGTAGGCCAGTGCGATTAATATTGGCTTTTGCGCTTGTTTCCACGGCATATCTCTCGAATGCAATTGATTTTGCAGGTTTGCGTTAGTTCTGAAGTTGTTGGTATCGCTTATAGGACACCTCATAGCTTGTAGTTCGGCAATAGCTCAGGCAATAAAAACTTTTCAACTTGTTTGTCCCTATTGATTTACCATGTTAACAGTTCATCGAAACTTCCATGTCCCATTAGAAAGTATGCCGTATGTTGTGCCTTTATATACAGTTTACACAACCACTTCAGGGGCTCTGGTGAACACGAATAGACTTCACATGTAACTTCTAGAAGTAAGGGGACAGAGGGCCATATACTATTGCTGAACTGAACTGGTGGATTGGACTAGCGGACTTGCAAATTACGCCCCCACAAAGCCTTTTTTCGGCTTCTGCGACATTTCTTGAAGGACTAGGATGACTCTGGACCTCGCACATGCCTGTAGAGCCTATAAGGCAGAAATGTCACAGAAAAGTAGGAAAGCTGTGAACGCTGGCTCCACGCCGCCGCCGTGGACGGCATCCACGATCTCTGACACTAGGCAGCGCCAGTGCTCGTGAACTACTGCTAGCAGCCATGGTATGGACCAGTGCAAAGTCCAGAGTCGTCCTAGTCCTTCCAGTAATGTTGCAGAGGCTGACAAAAGACTTTGCGGGGGCGTAATTTGCAAGTCCACTAGTCCAGTCCACCAGTCCAGTCCAGCGACGGCCAACACAGAGTTAACTGATTTGTCAAGAGTATCCCTAACCAGCAGCCGTTAACACCAAATGAAGCAAGTGCACTTACACCATCATTGTTTACAATGAGATGTGCAGCACAACAAATTATTATTTGCCATCAAATTATTATTTGCCATGTACGTAGCGGGGAAAACACATCCCTAGAAGTCCTGTGGATCCCTTTGAGTAATAGAGATGGTGCTGATGTGCGCAGATGGGTTTTCGAATTGCACCTTTGCCGCTTCATCATGACAGCTACATGCCAAACTTTTACGACATGCAGCATTCAAAACCTAAAAGAAACATGACATAAAAAGTTTATTAAGGGGCTAAGAACGAAAATGTGGTGTGTAAAGATAGATGAACAAGAACTGCTACACAAACTCAACAGGCAAATTTTCTTAAACGGGGAACGAGGACCATCAGTCTGGGCTACAGTAGTTTTATCTAGAGATCGCGTGACTTTCAGATAGTTACAAAACAACAAAAATGTCTCAAGAAATCATCTCGGGCAATTTGCAGTTGGGAGTTACAGGAAGCACTAAAGTGCAAACGATCGACACAAAACGAATGCACACAATGAATTGCGCAATATGCATGTAAATAGAGCACAGATTGATAGGCTGGGCCACCCCACGCTGTCTTACCATTCAACTGAGCCAGTTTCTCACTCTAACACAGGCTAGTGGGCAGTGTTGGGAAACAATGCTGGTTTGGTTACTTGTCTTCAAGTTACTTATACCTTCATAGTACACTGACACTTACAGACTAAACCTGGTCAATGTAAGCAGATGCTGATTATGGATATTATAGCTTTTCACACCATATCTCTTGAATGCAGTCATGTCAGGAAAAATCTTTTTAGTTTAAGGCCGTGTGTCACTCATACAGGTCGCCTCATAGCCTGTAGTGCCAGACTAGTTGTCGAAACACACTGACTGACGGACTGACTGAATGACTGGCAGACCAAGTACTGTAACCCTTACTGCACATGCACTCTGAGGGTTGATAACCAAGAACCCCAACTATTTGAACTTAAACGTGTCGAGTATGAGTTGGAGACAGTTAAAGGTCCTTAATATTTTAGATAACCAACCACAGAAAAAGGTGATGTGCATGTGCATGCATGCTAAATTTTACCTATTTAGAATTGCATGTAAACATTACGTATGTGACGGCACCATGTACATAATTTGGGCCTATAGAACGACTTGCTAGTAACACGACAGTTACACAGTATGTACTTTCTATGTTCTGCAGTTAAATAGTGGCTACTACAATGTCGGAATGCCAGGTGTGTCAGCTAAGGGCAAGAGTGCTGTACCACTGCCACAGCCTGGGGGTGTGGTCCCACCTCCACCAGGAGAGCTAGGTGACAGCGAGGACTACATGAATGAAGAGCCAGAAGGTGTGTTTCACACCTACTCCAACCACAAAGAACTTCTGGAGCAAGTGAGAACTCCCATTGTGCATTTACTTCAGCACATGTGCACGGTGTGTTGCTGTACAGTATTCTGGCAACATCACAGAAACGTCCTCAAAGTCTGATAGATTCCCACACACTCACTCCAGGCATTGTGTGTGTCCATTGTTTGTCATTCTCCTGTTGCACTGCCTTTGTGTACCCTCACACATCTCACAATTCTGGTTTGTAGCTGCAAGCAGGAAATAATCCTGTACCTGAACCAGCTCTCCAGAACACTGAGTCAGTTACTGTACCTGGAGGAGAGAAGAAGATCACAGTCATGCTGAAAAACATTATTTCCAAGTGAGTACATGTGACCTTGCATGCATTGCAGTGCATTTAATCGTGTTGCGATACAGTCACAAAAAATGTGCAAGTTCGATAAGCTATAGAGTCTTCTTAGGCCATATTACTACTTATGCTGGCTTCTATGTAGATGCAGCCATGTAGTCGCAGGAGATTAACAAAGTGCTGAAATGGAGGTGGACTAAGCACTGTATACATTATCCCTTGTCAGCAGCAGTTTCTTTGGGAAGCTAAGGATCTTATGTCTGCCTCACTGTCGAAGTAGAAACACCAACTAGCTGTTAACGTCCATAACTCATTTATACTTCCGGCATTTCAGCCAACAAATCTAGGTTGCTTCTTGTATCATGCAAAAGGTGTCTGTGTCGTTCATAATATCCCACAGATTTATATCTTGGGTTTAAGTTGTTACTTTCATGAACATGATGCACATGACCAACTACATACAAATAATTATATTCGCATAACATTTTCAGGGACTCTTTGTGACATAGTGTCCCAGGAGACATATTCCATATGCATAATTTACGATTCTTTTTTTAAAATTTAGGACTCCATTTTTGAAGAAAGGTCCCAGTGAGATCCACTCCCAAACTATCACTGAAACAGACCGACAAAAGACACTCCAGCCATTTGCTCTTGCTGGGAATGCACAGGTTCCTATTGAGTGTGTTTTACTAGTCTCACAATGATGGTCTAACATTCTGTTACAAATTGTGGGAGGAGGGGGGCATTTTTTGTTGAGCAAGCGTAATGTTTAAACTTAAACGCTTTCAAATTTACACTCAACATGTCTTGGTAAACCAATTGATTAGCATGTGGACAGACAGACATAAAAAGTGCCATCCTTGGGCTCTACCAGGCCATACAGGTGCTGGCATTATGTCAGCTTTTTTTCTTGCACATGGACTAGCACCATCAGTGAGTAGCGTTTCGAGCAATGATGGACTGGAGGATTGTTGTGAGCATAACTTGCTGTTTATGGAGCGTTTAACTTGTGAAAATTAGTCAAGGAAAACCATTGCTCATGAGCATGTTAATTTTTAAATCGAGTTTGACGGCGTAATTCTCCCATGAGTATATCCATGGCCGTCGATCTAAAGCCATTGGTATTGTTTGTAGGCTGACACATAGCCTATGGTGTCAAGAATAGCAGTGCCAACAAAAAATGCACAGATCAAGTATTGTACAACCCGTGCTGCACATGCAAGCTAACGGGCATTGAGTATAGTTTGGGGCTATTATTTTGTTAATGCACAAAGAAGAGTGTTGTAGAAAAGGCTGAAGCTTAACTAAGGGAAAGGTATATAATTATGATGTGTTTGCCTTTGTTTCCAGGCTGGCAGAGACTATGAGGCTTTCTTCAAGACAAGTGCCTGGGGTGCAAATGAAGGGAAGCCAGCCATGACGCCATCTGACTCAGCCTCTGAAAGAACTAGTGCAGCCCAAGAGGTGCCAAGAAGATTAGACTTGTCTCAATTCAAGGCCAGCCCGGATAAACCCGAGACTGGGAAGGTAACTGAGGACAAAGGACATCCTCAGAGACCACAGAGAGTTTTCCCGACTGCAGAGGCTACACAAGACACTAGAAGTTAGAAATATGATGCACTCCAGCTACAGTTGTAAGAACTGTAGAATCATCAAAAGGTGCTGGAAGTTAATCCTTGAAATGTCAAAGAAAGCCTGCCTCACTGCAGTGCCTCACGCTTCCCTGCTGTGTTTTCACGCTTTCTGCCACCAAAGGGAAGAATTTTCTTTAGTAGCAGTAGTCCCCTGCCCACTAAGTCGCATGCGTGTTCAACTGTCTGCGGTTCTACTCTCAAAGTCTTATAAGGAAATTGAATGAAACCGAACATGAGATGAGACTGGTTCCGGAGATCGGTACCACCACTGACAATAGCAAATTAACTAAACAGAAATAAGTGCATGATGTTGAAATGTTTGACTCGTTCTGTATACATAGCATCAGGGTAATTGTGAATTGAGTATTACATGCTGTTTTGCAGCTCCCACTCCCACTCATGCTCCTTCCTCAAGTCCAAGTGGTCATGCTCCTCAGTTATCATCCCGGCGACCCTTGCCCTCTCATACACCTGTGGAAGCCAAGATATCCATACCCACACCCCTCAGAGTCGCTCCACCTCTTGGAGTCCCCAGGAATCCTCCCTCCCCCAGGCCACATCGCCTGGTTTGTTGTACAGTGAAATGGGCCCAAGTTGTAGCACATACACACAAGTTTCGACAACTGTACCTCTTCACTGTTTGTGTGAACTACAGTATTGCAAACGCATTGTTGATTGCTATAGACCAGAGAAGCCTCTTGTTGAACAAATACACAAGTTGTGTCCTTTTATGCAGCATGTGTCAGAAGACAATGATTTACTGATGCTATCATACATTGAAACACACATGAGCATACATGCAAACTAGTCAGGGTCTATGGATTGCTTGAGCTAGCTTGCCAAAACTAATTACAGCTAATAATTTTTCGTGTGTTCAGGTTGGACCCGCTAGGTCAGTGGATCAGGCTCCTCCTCCTCCTCACAGTAATGACCACAAACCGACTCCCCTGGTCCCCAGACCTGAGAGTTCCGTCTCATCGGAAAAGAGTGGTGGTCGTGGTGTGGGTGTAGCCAGGGGCAGGCTTCCACCTCCCAGACCTCCACCGTACATTCCCCCACTAACAGAGAGAAATCAAAAGATTCCATCAGGTTAGGAAATGACTGTATCACCATTACCTACAGTGGTGTAAAGACAATTGTGTTTAGTCACACACTGCCTGAGGTTTTAAAACCAAGTGTGTTGGGACCATAGTTTAAACGTGCAGTTCGCATATAAAAGGTGAAACACCGGTGCAGTGAAGTCTCATTTTTAGAGTTGCCTGACAAAGATGCACTAACAAAATGGAGACCCTCATACAAAAACCGCTCGACACAGGTTTATATCCATAAATCATGCCTAGACTCACTGAGAAACTGCTATACTTCATGCATCCCTTTTGCGACCAACAATGGGAGCTGCTTGTGTTGCTACCGAGTCGCTTGGGTCGTCTTCCGGTCAGGGAGGTAGCCACACCCCGCTGAGTCAGCGAAAAAGCAGCTGCATAGCTTTCTCACCAGGGTAGAACTTTGCTGGCAGCTCTCGTGTGGTGTTTTCATGGGACTTCGCCGAGTTTCGTCGCTTGCCATGATACGGTAACCCATTGCTAAGAGAAAGTGCATGCCTAGCAACCGCCTGCCGCCTGCGACTTTGGCTTTGCTTCGGTGCTACAGTGCTTGCTTTACTACAGGGCCTGTCCATGAGAAGTAGTTCTTAGCGAATCTGTGTGGTACAGGCAGTATCTCTGCGGTCCGTCCCAGTTTGTTGATCTTTAGCTTTACGGGTTCCAGCTTGCTCGCATGGGCGAGACTCACCGCTTTATGTTTGCTTCGATGTTTGTAGTGTTGTACGGGCATGTTTTGAGCTGGAGCGGTGCATGCAGTGAAGCGGCAAACATGCTGGCCATCTGGCTGATGGTCAAACTGGGGAAAATTGTGCGATTCTCGAACACGTTTGGCTCTTTATGTGCAGACTCTCTGGGGTGCTCGAAATGTGTATTTTCCTATGGAAACTGCATGTTTAATGTAAACAGGAGTGTTAAGGAATAAGGTACATTTAAGGCATGCTCACATTATTCCATAATGTTCTTTGTAGCTCAATGTGTAAGCGTATCGCACAGTAGAAAAACTGCTCTAATATTGACAATCTATGAAAGGTCCCACTCAGGCTACCAAACCTAGCTGGTGGCAGTCAAGTTTTCTATGATCCATTGATAGAAATGAGCCTTGGTTTTTGCTGGAAATGCTGCGTAATAGATAATGCGCGTGAAGAGTTCAACGAGGGGTGTGGTCGAGAGACTCAGACACAGCCGAGTGCTGTATGTGTCTGGAGACCACAACCCAAGTTCCTGTAAGTCATGTATAGAACGAGGGGACGGATATTATGTGTTTTATTGAGTTAGCAGTCGTCGACCTCCAGCGAGAGAAATGTGACAGCGTAGAATACTTCCCAAGCGCATGTGCGCTCTAGCTGGCTTCTCGAGCGAGTTCTCTGTTCTCGAGGCTACGCTAATCGAACAAAGTCGTGATGGTGGCTCTTTGTCCCTCAGAGAAACTCGTTTCATAGGTTGCTGTGCCGGCTGCAGTCTTGCTTGCCACAGGTAGAAAGAGTGTAGAAGAGATAGCTGAATGAAGGGTGTGGTCGCTTCAGCCATTTCTTGCCTCTACAACCTCTACAGCACAGTTTTGTCTACGATATATGTATGATGCTAATGCTAGTTCATGAACGTTTTATTGAACGTTCAATGTAGGTCATATTGAACATGTACTACAATACGGGAAGTAAAGTATCCGCAGCTCCGTTTATCCGCCCACACAAGTCACAATTAAAACCAGTTGCGCGCCGCGTAGTATCTCGGAAATTTCTCCATGTATGCGGAATTACGCATGAACGGAGTATTGCAACACCCATCCGCGTAATACGTAATTCCGTGCCACTAAAGTGGCGTTGCGTAGCAATTATGCGCCCGCCATTTAAGTGGCACGCGGCACCCATAGTGATAAAGCACATTGCATGCACACATGCTACGGAAATTATTGAACACAGTTTGTGGTCTTGTCTCGACCACTAACAGTGTTCACTAATTCCCGTACCACATTTGGACTAGGTTTTTTCACAGAGTGCAAGTATATGTTGATGGAATCTGTGTTTGATACACTTGTTCAGTGAAGGTTACATTACCATCATCTGCCTCTCAGCATGCAACCGCTGACCGCATGGCGTGATTAAGTAGGTTTACCACTTGCATCCTAAATTTGATTTTCTGCACTTGTTCTAACTGTAGAAAGTAAAGTGCGGTCATTGATGCCGTACTGGTACCGACCAAATATAACAAGAGAGGAGGCTATCGAACTAGTGCGACAGATGGACAGTGGAGCTTTCATTGTGAGAGACAGTCAGACCGTGTCAGGAGGCTATGCTCTCACTATCAAGGTTGGTGTACAATGTCCATGAAATTGAGTATCTTAGTAGGTGTAGCCCTACATTCACACCTGCACAACATGCTGTGTACATGTATCTAATAAAGCATGTTGTACATGAGCAACCTTTCACATATTACGTGTATTTTGCCTTCAACTGTGAATTTTGTCCACCACTACTGCTAATTGTTTGCCACTTAACCGTGTTGATTTGTTGTACAGGTCACAGAGGCTATTGTTCGCCAGCGGAAGAAGCTGGGGGACACAGCAAAGGTCACGGAGGACATGTGTGTTACTCATTTTCTCATTCAGCCTGATCCTGAAGGGGTTAAACTGCAGGGATGGAATGAGAGAGCTTTCAGTAAGTGTTTGGTGTTGTATTGCATTGCCTGTATCAACCATGGAAGCTGACGACATTGCAAACTTTGTGATCGATTAAGGGTATACGTATGTACCTGATAACTTTTCGTAGGTCAAATTCAATACTCCCAAAACAAGAATAGATTTTTTTTACTTTGCGTCAAATGAGTATGAGGGATATTCGCGCATGCATGCGCAATTGCATTCTATGGTGTTCGTTTGAAAACTTATTTGGAGCCAGAAATTCCTATGTACATGTCCTTTTCCATGGTTTGAGGTTTGCCTTGTGTTGTATATTGTGTTGTAGATTCGAACCATTACCAGCTGAGTTTCCGTCGTAGCTCATTTGGTAGAGCGCTAGCCTGGACTGCAGAGTGTCGTGGGTTCGAATCCCACCCAGGGCATCTTAGCTCTCCTGGGTGTAGTTGGTTTGTTTGTTGTCCCCTTTGCCTTTCTACCTCGTAGTTGTCACATGTAGCTGACATGACAGGACTTGTAGGAATTTGATGGCTTCCAACATTGTCAAACTAACACCATAGAACACCCGCAAGGCAATTGCGCATGTATGCGTGTCGCTTATGATGTTGAGGTTCTTGTGCGCCCCTTTTTGCTTCCGTCGAGTTCAGTTGTTGTTGTCTGCCTATCATGAAATTGCCAGCTAATACACACTAACCTGCGATCAGTTACATTAAAGTGGTCACTCGATATGCGCAGGTTGACTTCCACCAATCCTTAAGTAATTCCTGCAGTTATTATCATACACTTGTAATATAATTAAACCCTCGGCCCGCATGCGCAGCGAGGGTTACTGTACTTGGTTTGTAAGTGCGTCCGTCTGTCTGTTACCACGTTTTCTGCGACTACGCGCAACGAGACAACAAAACAGCGATACCAACGGGTTCGTCGCTACACTGGCTTCAAAAAAGGCGATCTTCGTATAACTACTGCGTTCAAAAGTGATGGCGTGAAAAGCAAGTCAACAAGCCAATATGCAAATTAGCACAGGCTTACCTCGACCACGTCCGCTCGCTCTGTGTATCTTGAAGGCACAAGAAGTCACAACGAAGGGTATGTATCGACTCCCGCATGCTATCTACTACTGTACCTAGCCTGTGCCAGACTCTCCGTGAGCTACTAGCGGGATACCACGAGTAAAGGCATAAAAAGCCCAGCTCATCAGGGGTATAGGTCCTCTTTACTAGGCGGTCGGTCCACATTTTATTAGGAGGCCTAAGAGAGCAAGAACAAGGAGTAAGAACCGGGAGCAGCGGTGGTGGTGGGTGCAGGCACCAGGCGACTACACTTGCTGTTAGTCCTCGACCTCTGTGCTAATCCACCGCAAGTACTTTCTCGTGGGAGGGGTTCGCTTGTCACTCTTGTAAGGTAGGCCGACCTCTTAGTAAATTCGACCAACCTCTTAGATAAGTAGACTGACCTCCACATCAACCTGTGCAGGCGTACTATTTTTGACACTGATTGCACGCCATAACCCGAGCCGCATGTGTGTTGTGAAATTTTGCTATCAATCCTCTGCTGCTGAATGCAACACAGATGCATTCTTTCCACATTGAATATGCATGATTAACCCTCGGCGCGCATGCGCAGCGAGGGTTACAGTACTTGGGTCTGTCTGTCTGTGTGTGTGTGTGTCTGTTACTCTCAATCTAACTTTTGGGTGTTTGTTCGTCTCACAAAGGATACGACCTACTTAACGGGCAATGAAGGTCAGAAAATTCGAACGGTTTTCTCTGAAACTGCTCCGTTGCAAAGCTAGAGCGCGAAAAAGCCAATATGCAAATACACAACGGCTTACCACAGTCGAATCAATCCTCGTGCTCTGCGTACTTCGGAGGCACCAGAAGATGCAACGCAGGGCGTGTATCGCCTCTCGCATGCTATCTAGTAGTGTAGTTAGCCCGCGTCAGACTCTGCACGAGCTGGCAAGAGACCACGAGTAACAGCTAAAACTAAACCCAGCCCAGCAATTAGTGGTACGGCGCATGCGTTTACTTACGCGTGCACGTCACAGTGCACCGAGGGTTTGCACTTCAGTGCTTTTCATTATGTCATGTTGTAAATTGTGTCCAACTGTGGCTCCAAACCCTGACAGAGTTAAAAGAATGTGATAACCCATGTGAATGCCCCTCAACTAATCAACAAAAGACCCTCCACCACATCTGCTGATGGTCTCAGTGTATGCACTGCCACACAAGTTGCTTGGTGGAAGTGCCCATGCCAAAATTGTTGGGGGTGACATTGTGCTTCTGAGTAATTTGTTTTGGATAAAGCACATGTATTCGACTTGCTTTTTGGCAGACTTTAAGTCCTTGCCAATTATGCTTGATGGGGTCTAGCCGTCGATCGTCAGTTACTTTGATGAAGGCTCGGCTTGTGTGGTAGGTGCTAGAAGCTTGTATAGATATTTTAAGTTTGATCATCAGACACCCTTTTTATGTATGAAATAGTACACATAGTTTAATATTAGGAGTTTTAATCCTTATTTACCTAAGAAAAGTATGTTGCTCTCCTGTGTTGGACTTCTCAACCTTAAGTTCCTGATGGAAGTATTTAAGAAGAGAGTCACAAATATTTGGTATATGTTAACCCAGCAACGGCACATTATAGGGTATGATTTATTGGCCAGTAGTAGCTGTTCTACCACCAACAGCAGAGGGCTCAGTCACTCGCTTAGGGAATTCAGGCATTGTGCTGGAGAAACATACCAAGTAGGTTTGATGATGGCAAGTATGCTCTATTCGCGCTGCGTGCTCATAGAGCATACTTGCCATCATCAAACCTATACACAAAGACTAGTGATGATCATAAACCATCTAGGAATGCTTCGTGGTCTATTAGCATAATTATGCTACCATAATGAAATGATCAACCTTCCTAGAATATTGAGTACCATGTATGTTAGAGATGCACTGCCGCAGATTATAAATGAAAAGCACTGAAGTGCAAACCCTCGGCGCATTGTGACACGCACGCGTAAGTAAACGCATGCGCCGTACCACTAATTGATGGGCTGGGTTTAGTTTTAGCTGTTACTCATGGTCTCTTGCCAGCTCGCGCAGAGTCTGACGCGGGCTAACTACACTACTAGATAGCATGCGAGAGGCGATACACGCCCTGCGTTGCATCTTCTGGTGCCTCCGAGGTACGCAGAGCACGCGGATCGATCGGACCGTAGTAAGTCCGTTGTGTATTTGCATATTGGCTTTTTCACGCTCTAGCTTTGCAACGGAGCAGTTTCAGAGAAAACCGTTTCTGACCTTCATTGCCCGTTAAGTAGGTTGTATCCTTCGTGAGACGAACAGACACTCGAGAAGTGAGATTGAGAGTAACACACACACACACAAACCCAACTACTGTAACCCTCGCTGCACATGCGCGCCGAGGGTACAACAGGGCACCTTCCATAGTTAGCTGTAAATATACAATAGCTGGGAGAGTACAAAGAACGTGTAGCAGAATTAGGCATTGACAGGGGCACTAAGGATATGTATTGTGACAGTAGTACAAGCAAAAACTGTTATGGGCATGCAGGAAGGAAAGGGTGGTCATTAGAACATTGAATGAATGGAAATGTAAGGTCAATGAATGAGAAAATTAGGTCACTTAAAGAGTAGACTAGAACGAAGATGCATTCCCTAAGACTGAGAAGCATCTAAATTATCTGCAGTTTCTTCTTAGTAAGCATGTGTTAGTACCACCTGAAAGGCATAAGGCATCAAGTAATGTGACAGTAGTGGCCAAGAAGTATTATTTAGAAGTTGTGTTGAAAGAAATAGATGCAACTACATCAAATGAGCTGGTTACAGAGGAATAATGTTCTTGTGGATGAGCACTCAAAGTATACAAAACCCAATCACATGGTGGTGCAGCCTGAATTATATATTGTTTTACTGGCTTTAAAAGTTACACAAAAACCCTTATGGTACAAGGTTTATAGCTGCATAACACTACCTACCGCCGATAGTTATGATTTTTCCAACACTTTACACAATCACTTGACACGAATCACCTTTAAAATCGGCCTACAAGATGAGGGACTGAGTGTAATACTGGAAGGGCATATTGGTCAAACATACCATCAGGTCCTCATCTAAACAGAGCATAACCCAGGAAGTGCTTGTGGCCATGATCGGAATTCTTTGGCAGAATGTGCTAATGGAAGGCAATTCTTTTTCTGCCAAAAATGTGTGCCACTCTCAGGAATATCTGAAAGATAACATTTATGTCAGTGTAGGCAGTAGAATATGTAGACAGTGTGTGGGGATTGCAATGGGCACTGACTGTGTGACCATTAGCAGCGAATTAATTTATGAATACAGATACATGAGAAACAGCAATTTGGTGTTTGCTGAACGATTTAACAATGAGATACACCAACAATCTTCTAACACTGAATAATGCTGCATCTTGTTAGTTAACTAGTTTTTGGGTCACGAAAATTTTTGTTGGCTACTCTATGCATAGTATTCCATAAGAAAAACAGGTTCTGAACTGCTTAATCTGGCATCTTGTGCAATGACATGCGCAACAAAGGACAAAGACTGGCACACACAAACGTTTTGTGCAGGGAACATGGTTCTGCACCGAGGGTTTGCATTTTAGTGCTTTTCATTAACCCTCGGTGTGCAGGGTTACAGTACTTTGTTGGGAAGGTCTGTCTGTCTGTCCGTCTGTCTGTTACCACGTTTTCTGTCACCACGTGCAAGGAATCGGCCAAAGAGCGATAGTAACAGGTTCAGTGCTACACTTGTTTGATTTTTAAAAAGGCTATTTTCATAAAACAACTGCGTTCTAAAGTTATGGCGTCAAAACCAAGCAAACAATCCAATAATTATGCTAATTAGCATAAGCTACCTCGACTGGGTCCGCTTGCTCTGCTGGGCACCTTTGTGTACATATGTATGCAGTTATGATGTTTGGTCTTTTGGTAGAAGGTGATTTGGCTTTCTTTATCTTTTTTCTTGTGTTGTCTTCAGGGCACAAGAAGTCACAATGAAGGTCGTGTATCGACTCTCGCATGCTATCTACTACTGTAGCTAGCCCGTGTCGGACTCTCCGCGAGCTACTAGCTGGAGATCACGAAGTACTAATAACCCAGCCCATCAAACGGTACCGCGCATGCACAGTTCGCCGAGGGTTTGCACTTTAGTGCTTTTCATTTTTACCTGTAGTTAGGTTTGGACACTGGGTGTGTGGGGAGGGTTGGCATGCTGTAAAGACTCTTTGACACACTGCCCCAGTTCTCAATGCTGGGCACCTTTGTGTACATACGTATGTATTAATTTTTTTATAAGTTATGTTTGGTCTTTTGGTAGTAGGTGATTTGGGGTTCTTTATCTTTTTTCTTGTGTTATCTACATAGCATGTTATACATAATGTGTTTTCATCAACTGGTCAGTAGTGAGTGAGGTCCTTGCTACAATGGCCAACGATGTGTTTAGCACAGGTATTACCATGTCTCTCAGGTATAGTGACAGATAGCGTCTATCTGCCACTGAAATACTGTTGGACCATAAAGACACATTTTTTCGGAAGTGTAGAGCTACGTATGTTGTGTTGTGGACAATGTTAAACCCCAGCACGCATGTGTAGCGAGGATTACTGTACTTGTTCTGTGTGTCTTATTAAATATTGCACATTTGGAGTTATTATTCATGCCGTGAACTCACATACTAAGTGGCAAATGAAAGTCAAGAATTGTAATACCAAGCAAAACCAGAGTGGGTTCAGTGAGGGTTACAGTACTTGGTTTGTCCGTCGGTTACCACGTTTTCTGCCACCACGTGCAACAAACAGGTAAAAAATGTAACACCAACGGGTTCAGCGCTACACTGGCTTTATTTCAAAATGGTGATTTTCGTAAAAGTGCCACGTTCAGAAGTTATGGCGTGAAAAGGAAGTGAACAAGTCAATATGCAAATTAGACTCACCTAGACCGAGTCCGCTTGCTCTGTGCACCTTGAAGGCACAAGAAGTCACAACAAAGGGTGTGTATCGACTCCCATAGCCTGTAGCTAGCCTGTGTCAGACTCTCCGTGAGCTACTAGCGGGAGACCATGAGTTAACGCATACTATAATAGCCCAACCCATCAATTAGTGGTACCGTGCATGCGCAGTACGCCGAGGGTTTGCACTTTAGTGCTTTCATTTCTTCATGTAAAGGGTATTGGAATTATATATAGATAATTGTGTAGTACAGTACACAAAGAACATGCACTGTCTGTTACCATACAATTCTAGGATGTTTATATTGCCCTTCATCACTGTGCAGCGCAATTTAATCACACAAAACTTGGTTGCTCTCTCTCTTTCTTAAGTTGTGCGTATTGTAGGTCATGTTTTTGAATGCTGCTGCCCTTTTAAAGTCTTGGGCACTTGCCAGCTAACTCACTTTACAACCTGGCCCTAGCTGCAAGCATCTCTCTGAGTGTTCCAAAAACCAAGCGTTGCACATTCAAAAAACAAAGCGTTGTGCACACCAATCAGTCCAAGAACTAAGCCTGTACCAACCCAACAAGATCAGGACCAATCCATAATAGACATTTTATATCTGCTATTACCCATTTTATTTGTGACACCCTTCACCTACTGGCATTTTACTGCATTTCGTTATTAATGTAGAGAGCCTGGCAGAGTTCATAGCTAACCACACAGCCGACAAGCTCTGTCTTCCCTGCAAACTTGTACTTCCTAAAGCAGGAGGTGGGGGAGGGGTGAGTGGGGAAGGTGGGAGAGGGAGAGGAGGGGAGAGGGAGGGAGAGGTGTGAGAGGAGGAGAGGGTGGGGAAGGAGCACACCAGGTACGACGGAGACCTGTCACAATGCAAGAAGCTCTCAAAACTGGAGCAGGTAAGTATTCATGATTATTGTAATCGATTTTCCATTGCTACTTTGCTACTGTGGAATAGGGTGGCAAACCCTCAGCATGCATGTGCATCAAGGGGAGTTAGAATACTTGGTCTGTGTGTGTATGTTATTCAACGACAGTAACCTAAAGCAACGAATCCACGGACAAAGCACTAGCAAAAGCACTAACCTCAGGGACCTCTAAAACTTAATTTTTGACACGAACTTTAATGTGTGTAGTTATGTTGTTATGCACCAAATATTCCCCTGTAGACTAATATTGTGCATATCTGGTTTCAGTTCTTAACTCCCCATCTTAGGAAAAGAACCAGCCGATCTTATTTACAGTAAAATAAGTTCCAACTATGCCGCCGTAGAACGGTGACACCGTAGCTACGGTGCTTTTATGGCAAATCTACGGTTGACCGTAGAGCACCGTAGCTGTTGTCTGTTTGTGGACCGTTCATGCACCGTAGTGATGTCGTACCCATGAGACAAACGAGAGGCGGAGCTCACAGAAGGCAGCGTCTTGTTTTTTAGACGGCCGAGAAACATGATGCCGTATTCAAGATCAGACACAACGTACACCCAGAACTTTGCAAGACACATATGCACGCCTTCGTCAGCAGAGGACTGCTATGCAACAGGCACGAGCAGTAGAGACACCAGAACTGGCAGAGATTCATATCTTCCATGTTTTAGTTTTGGAAGTGCCATGTGCAGTTGTAGGCTCCCTCCCACTCACCAATAATTCGCCTTCTAGTATTAACCAGACCATTTGGATATGTATCTTGTGTGCGAAGCATATAACATGGCTCTTAATGTCAGCACTGTAATTGGATAGTTCACATAGAAGCTGGTATGCTCTATTAATATTAAAAGCTATACAGTTTTGGCTAACCATTATGTAGCCGAAGTTACCAAGCAGATTGCCTTTCAATGAAGTATGCAAACTTTTGCACTGGGTTGTACGCATGAGGTGTGTGGGGTGTAGGTGCTATTAATGAATGATTGGTGAATTGTCATGGGGCTGCTGGAAGATATGCAGAGAATGCTCTGTTCTGTTAGTTTAGGCAGTGCTATTGTATGTACTACACTGTTGCAAACCAGACATATTGACTTGTTAGTTTTGCCTTTCTACCTCTTTGATCACACATGTATTTATGTTACATTGAGATGCTGTTCAATTACATTGTAGTTGCAGTGCTTTTCTTTGAATCAAGTTGCTAGGAGAGTAAAATCGTAATTCCTGCCAAAATCTTATAGGTGACGTGCCCAAAACACTATGCTTTGGTGCTTCATCCAGATACATAAACCAGGGTCTCCACATAAGCATACTGGCTGGTACTCTGTTTCTAATGAGATTGCTAGTTCGATGAGGCGAGGCGTCTTGTCATGGTACCTCCCAAAATGATAGACCCGCCTATATTAGTTGTACTGTATCTGTGGCAGAGGATTTTATGTTTTTTGAAACATCTCGTGTGTATTGGCACTGGGTGTCTACTTTGTAGCTCTCTTCTAGTCATATTTGCCCATTCACCACCCACTTATCATGTGTAAAGGAGTCTGGTAGGGGAAAGGAGTGTCTGGTAACTTTGATGCAAAACATGGTCCTCATTGCATACTATCTGAAACACTTCTAGAATGTGATGCTTAATTATGAGGCCCTGCATACCAAAGTCGACAGAGTACTGATGCATGTGACGTTCATTGGCCATTCGGCGATCTGATTGGAGTTTCGATCTAGAACACATGAATGCTAATGGGTGGAGCAGCTGGGAACGAGACTACTTAATTTCCTCATTATTAACCCTCGGCGCACATGTGCAGCGAGGGTTATTGTAGTTGTCATGTGTGTATAGCAATCTCCCTTCACGAGCAATCATTCGCTCCACAAACAATACCACGTATTCAGCGTCGGATAAACGTCAAAACATGTGACTGCAGCGTTGGGGAGTTACGGCGTGAAAACCAAGTGAATGAGCCAATATGCAAATTAGCACAGGCTTACCTCACGCGCGCTATCTGGCAATGAGACACTCTTGCTATGCGTAACTTGGAGGGACCAGAGGTTGCAATGAGGGGCGTGTATCGACTCTTGCATGTTATCTAGTAGTGTAGCTAGCCTGTTACTGACTCTCAGCGACCTGGAGACCACGAGTAGGTAACATGGCCCAGCCCATCAATTAGCAGTACAACACATGTATGTACTTCTGCGTGCACATTTCGTGCCTGGCATAATCTGTTCACGCATGCACAAGATATTCTAATCCCGTACCAAGCCTATTGTTGAGCTAAAACATGGCAGATGCAGTGACCTTCCTTGGTAGCATGCTTACCTCTTCTCAGAAGAATGTATATAGGCAGTCTTCTTCGACTTTGCTCTGACAAGGAACCCTTCTCTAGCGAGCATGCGCGTCTCCGCCAAGGGTTTGCACTTTAGTGCTTTTCATTATTCATCTTTTTCTCTCCCACCTATTTATACCCTTCTCTGTTTTTATCATTAAATGGGGTGTTTATCAAATGCAGCGTGTGACCTGGTTTACCTTGGGAGTGTTGATGTACCAGGGCCAGGGTCAGAGGTCATGCTGGCAGAGACAGTTCGACAGCGAAAGTCTCTTGACATTTCAGTCTCAGTGGTGACTTTTAAAGCAGCCAAAGAGGGCATCACAATCTCTGACAATGTCAGTGGGTAAGTGAACCGTACATGAAAACTTCTTAATCCTCGGTTTGTATGCACTACGAGTGTTGTACTCCATGGTTTTTGTGTTTACTCTTCTAACACTACAAGCTAAAAGGCAGCAAAAAGTGTTACTAACAATTTAATTGCCAAGTAAGCATGAATCCAGAAACAACGTACTGTATTCTAGAGAATACAACTGAATAAGCCAATGAGGAATGGCATACCTTGACACTTTTTCCCTTGCACACTGAAAGCATGAATGTTCTTGGAGAATGAGTATCTAGTCCATAAGCATAGCCTGTGCAGTAGCAGCCAATGATACAGCAAGCCAATGTTAGTACGCACTCGCGTGGTAAAATGTGTTAACTAATTGTCACAGCAACTCACATCAGGTGTAATAAGTACCTACATGCCATTTTCCAATGCAACCAACGGATATATAAAAGTGTGTGTCAACTGGAGTACTTGTTAGAAATCTTGAGCTTGCAATGCCACAGGCTTCTAACGCATGTAGATTGTATGTCACTGAGTAAGAATCTCCTAGCCCATTAATTAGCAGTACTCTGCGCACATATGTAAGTATTATGTAATTTTATTCACTTTCCATTTTGTTGTTCAAAAAAGTGTTAATATGTAGATGTGCATGAAAAATAAGATGTAATGAGGCCAGTATTAGCTCTGGACAGTCTTTTTGGTAGAGAGCATAATAATCCCATTTTCTGAAGTTAGTAAAGCTCCCAGAAGCATTTCATAGACTTTCCTACGATAATGACAATACCCTTATGTTAAGGTGCCGATGAAAAACTACAACACTTCGAACGAAGACATGTATTCTACATGTTTGCGAAGAAGTTCGAGCCCTACTGAAGACGGACTTGCGTTGGACTGCTTGTTTCTTTTGTCGGTGGTCCTTGTTAGCACTGACCTGCTTTGTGTTGAAAGAGATTTTGATCGGATGATCGACCCAGTGCTAGCTCATTCTTGTTATGGTACGTATGTTTTTTCGTACCGTTCAGCCGGAAATATTGACCATCATTTTTAGGTGCAGTGCTATACCACCACTGTGGGTTCATTTGGCAGGTTTGTGGTTGATGATATAATCTCGAACTTAAAGCCGCCAGTATTATGTGTAACATGCTTCTGTAGTACGAACATAGCTAACACTTCATCTGCTACAAAAGCACGGATTATACATGCTGTTCTTTTTGCACTTGATGTTTACTTCCACGATATGTCTCCATCTACGTAGTGGCTGGTACACACAACCTGTGCCCATACATAGGTATATTAAGTCATACACATCTCTGTGTGCATGGGTGTAGTTGACCTGTTTGCCTTGCCTTGCCTTTCTACCGTGTTACCAAGTTGTTGAGACATGAAAATTGCAACACTGACTCGTTTGCATTCAGTTGCCAAAAGTCATTGTATTATGTAACGTGTTCATTGTCATACATAAGAAGGACATATTCAAATCAAACACTCATATGCTAAGAGCCAGCTATCTACTGCTGGAACGAGAGAAATGTGACCAAGGGCAGGGCTGGCTGGACTTGTGCCTAATTTCATGTGTTTGACAACATGCCATATCCTCCTATCCATTTCATTTTTATTATCGTATTAGACAGGTCTGAACAGGGTCCATCAGATGTACCACCTCTTGGTCTTTGCCTTGAGACCTCATGGTTACAGTATATACTGTACTACACAGTGTTGTTTTTGTATACAGGTTGTATATCAAGAGACAGTACCCCATCTCATCTCTTACATACTGTGGAGCTGATCCCAATGACACAAGGTAGAACCATCGTACTCATAACACACACAGTGTGTATCCTGTATGTATGAAGTGTAATTAGGTGTACGATGCATAATCTGTGTCCCAATACCGAGATAAACCCCAAGCCCAAAGGGGGCCGGTTATATCAACAACTAACTTCTGTGGCAGTGGAGGCCCATATATGTGTGTGTGGTTTGCCAAGCCCAACCAATCCCCAGCCTGCTTAAATCACCTTCACTACAGGTGCTATATTATGTATACAGTGTACTCTTTCAATCTAGGTCAATTTTGTGGGCTATGCTGAACATAAGTTTAATATGTGCAAAATGATCCCCATATTTAATAGTTTGATCACAGTGATAAGATGTCACATTTCTGTCATTTTGAAAAAAAATGGCAGATAAACAAGGTTTGGAGATACTTTTGTCAAATGATTTCCACAAAATGGCTAGTTAGTCTTTGAAAGCTTGTGCAGCAGTACCGTACCCAAGGCCAGTAGCCAACTAAAGGTTGCTAGACTGCAGAACATTGTGGGCATGCCTGACCTTTACTTGGCTCAAAGATATTTCCTTAGGATATGGTATTAATCCACAGTTTCAGTGATTTTATGGAAAATCTGTGTTTCAACACCTCTCACTTCATCTCCCACTCCTGTAGTCATATTAATCATCAATGTTGGGACCATTTATATGTGTATGTCACACAGTTAGAGTAATGTTCAGCATGGCCCAGAACATTAGTCAAAAAGTACTGTGTTAGCCTTGAATACTGCATATGCCAGTATAATATGTAAAGGACCTTACTGCCACTTAATCTACATCTGCTTTACATGTTTCTTTGAGCAAAGCTCCTATTGCATTTACCTATGTTCACAGATGGGACTTTCCGCAGCTCCAACATCTTGGGGAGTCCATTCCAATCACTAATGCTCCGTAAGTGTCCTCTATTCTGTATAATTTTGTCCTTAATATTTGAGACACAATATGTGATTATTCGTTGTTAAATGAGTGCAGAGCTTTTTTAAGCCTTTGGTCAGCAATAGTGTAGGTTGATTCTTGGTTCATAAAATGCAGCACCCTAGACACTGGGAATAATTAACTACATAACTACCATGCTACGTGATACTCTTAACACAATCAGGATCACCCACTATATTAAAATACCTACACTCACCTATTATACTTCTCACCTATGAAGCAGAGTATAATATGACATTCATAGCTTGAGAGCAGTGCACTAAGAAGCAGTCCTCTTTGATAGTATTATATTCATGAACCTGCACTTTCTTTGAGGACTGTTGTCTGGGTGATGTATATGCAAGTGTAATGTGGTGTTGAGACACATAAGAGGGTCTTGTGAGCTTCGTAGGCCATGTGCCCAAGAACACACTTGGCACAACTCTGTGAAGATGGGGGTTAGTTTTACAGCTCAGTTTATGTGTTTTGTTCTTTGTAATACCATGTGTACGACAATTATACGTCAAGTGCGTTGTCACCTCGACTGTCAAACTGGGTTCTAGTGTATTATCACCTCTCGACTGCAAACTGCGTCACTTCCGTAGTGCTCTAGCATGAGCAATACTTTATAATTGGTTCGTAGCAATGTTTACAGGGAATGCTTGAGTTCTATAGCGTGTCCATGGACCACCCAAGACTCGATACTGCACCCATGGAGTACCTGCAGGTAAAGTTTTGTAGCTCTTAGGACAGCCAGTCAGCCTGTGTGAGTCTGTTTGCCATCCATTCAATATTTTCCAACACGTGACAACTGTCCATAGCATGGCGTTTTTTAAGTGGCTGGGGGAACTTTTGTGCAATGCAGAGGGGTGCCATAGTCCGGGCTTTCCTCACTTACACACAATGTTGTTTTACGTAGGGCTATGTTGCGCACAGAGTAAAAGTGGGTAAGGCCTGGTCTGAAACATCACACAAGGTAGATGCCCAAGATGCTCACCCCTTAGAAAAGCTCGACCACGAGCTTGTCATTGCTTCAGGTTGTCTATTCTCTGCCTTAAAATTAACTTCTGCTTGCTATTTCATCCTCCACGTACACTGTCCAATCACTGTTCACTAGTGCATCAATCCACGTTGTCCAGCACAGTGATCCTCAGGCTACATAATCGGCTCTCGACACCCCCGCATGCTAGGCCCTCTCCTCTCCAGCAGCAGGAGTCCGCCCCCCGCGTGCTAGGCCCTCTCCTCTCCGACAGCAGGAGCCCGCCCCCGCGTGCTAGGCCCTCTCCTCTCCGACAGCAGGAGTCCGTCCCCACGTGCTAGGCCCTCTCCTCTCCGGCAGCAGGAGTCTGCCTCCGCGTGCTAGGCCCTCTCCTCTCCAGCAGTCCCAAATGCCTTTTTCACTCCGGCTTGCTCCAAACGCGTCACGCTAAGCCGCTTTCTCCGCTGGTCCTGCCAGCTGTGCATCGAGCGTCCTGCAACGATAGCTATACACACTGTCACTGACTTTGCTGACGTTCGTGGACGCGTCCCACGTGGTTGCTATCGTGCGATCTTCTTCGGCTTCAGCGATTGCTTCGCTCGTTCCGGCACTCAGGATGTTATAAGAGTGCTTAGAGACAGCTATCCAAGGTTCCTGGGCGCCAGCCGCGCCAAGGCAACGGCGATTGGCCCAGGTCTCGGTGAGACCTCCACTGTAACGACGCTCGACCCGAGTCCAGATGTTATTCGACTGACTTACAAACACGCATGAGTAGTAAATATGAATAATGTATGACACTAAATAAGTCAAGTTTTTCAGCTTTGTTACATATGTACAATAATGGTGCCACAACTCCTACCAATCCCTGAAACCTCGTGTGATGTTTCCTTCGCTTGTTTTTACTCTACTGCATGTCCAATGATCATGCAGCATAAATGTTCACGTACACATGGAAGGCAAGGGAGCCATGGTTCTATCATGTCACTGTGTATACTTTTTGTGATTTTGTGGTGATTACTGCTGTTCCATGCAGATGCTTTGGTGTGTTTACTCGCCTCCCGGACAGTGGAGGTCACTCTTGCCTCCTGTTCGCCCAGTACTCACCCTCCCAGCCTGTCACATCTGTCCTCTCTTACCTTCACCAAGTCATGCGACAGAGACAGCGACAGAACTGAGCTCTAAACTGAGCAGACACTGCTAAGTAATGGGTGAAAGGTTTTAAATTGTCTCAAATGTGATATTTTAACAGTGTTTTCATAGGTGTTGAATCAGTCTGTTCACATGATATCAAGTCTAATTTTGGAGCCCTCTAGCTAATATTTTTTGACTGCGAGTTGCAGATGCTATCATTCATGCACAAAAAACACATGATGTCGCAGTATGGACTTATAGCAAAGAATATTGTTATACAAACACGAAAAGTAACTCAGTCACAACAGTTCAATAGCGAAAGTGCGAGTATCCCAAGTAGTAACTGCGAAGATACGGTCAGCAGACAGGTGCGCGAAGTGGGCGTCGTTGCAGACCCGCCTTCCGTCGTAGCAACTGTTGTGATCGGTGGGAAAACCAGGTTAGATGGGTCTTCTGGTCCAAAGCACAGCGTGGAATTACGCTCAGGGAAGTTTTCGCACTCCAGAAACGGTGGCCACCCCACCGCCGTGTTCTCGTCGACTATTTGTTCGCAGCCGACACGCGCGGCCTCGCAGAGGTTGCGGCACGGCACAATTGTAGTGTTTTCTTCCGTTTCGCCAACCTTTCCGCAAAAGGGAAAGTAAAAGAGCAGAGAAAATGGGCAATTGCGTTGGAGCAGGGGGTGCCCTCTGTCCAGAGCCGAGCAAAATCGGCCATCTCCTTTTCGGCCTCGTCTTGCGTTTCATGCATCCGTAAGTTTGGAAAAGCCGTTTGGTTGTAGCCTGTGTCACGGCATAGCGGTTGGTTTACGTACGAACACTTTAGGTTATCTGTCGGTAATGGTAAAACGGTAGCAGTTGAGTTGGACGTCACCGATGTCGCTAAAGTGACTAAAAATACGATACAGCTGAGCATCCTGATGAGGTCTCAGACTAGACCAGGCCGGTAGCTTCGCTTCTCGCCGCTAGCGCTTTTATCGATGCATCACGCGCATGCGTTTTTGGGAGCGGGAGCGAGCATACATCGGTATTTGCACATCCTAGCCTATACCAGCACCTTCGAACAGCGAAGAGCTATAGCTTCAATCAGGCGTCGAAGAAATGTCGCCTTCCATGGCTAACACTAAGAACTCTGAAATTTAATTCACCTTCTGTTCCTACCCTTATCCATGACACCGGCTAGGCCGTTTCTGGTAAAGAAAAAGCTGAAGTTCTCCCTGAGTGGGAAGTGCTTCACTTCGTCAGTTTCTCCTCTTGGTTTTGCTGATCAGGTAATCTCGCCATCTCTGGTGTACCTCAAGGTTCTGTACTTGGCCATTGCTCTTCCTAACCTTAGGCGCGCATGCGCAGCGAGTTATAACTGTAGTTGGGTCTGTTACTCCAATCTCACTTCTCGAGTGTTTGTCCGTCTCACAAAGGATACGACCTACTTAGCGGGCAGTGAAGGTCAGAACCTCGGAGGCACCAGAAGATGCAACGCAGGGCGTGTATCGCCTCTTGTATGCTATCTAGTAGTGCAGTTAGCCCGCCAGACTCTGCGCAAGCCTGCAGGAGGTAAAAAGTAACAGCTAAAACTAAACCTAGCCCATCAATTAGTGGTACGGCGCATGCGTTTACTTAGGCGTGAGCGTCACAATGCGCCGACTTCAGTGCAGTGCCGTTGCCGTTATGGAACACACCAGACACTACGCCAATGACATCATATTAACTCTCGGTGCGCATGCGCAGCGAGGGTGTCTGTCAATCTATGACTATTCTCGCACTACAGTCTACGAGGCGGCTTATGAGCGATACCAACAGCTTTAGCGGTACATAGGCTAGAAAACTGAAATGGCGATTTTGCTAAAACGACGGCGTTCGAGAGGGACAAACTGGTGCGGACCGCGTTGCGTGGCCCAACCCATCCATAAGCGCATGCGTATATTAGACGCGATCAACGCTGTAGGGTGGCTCACCTCTACCTGATCCGCTAGCTCTGTGTACCTTGGAGACACAGCGAAGGGTGTTATCGACTACCGTAGCTAGCCCGTGCCAGACTCTCAGCGAGCTACTAGCGGGAGACAGGGAGTAAACGGTACCGCGCATGCGCAGTTCGCCGAGGGTTAGTGCTTTAGTAACGCCTAGATACCCTCCTTTACTGGGCTGCTATATACCAATTGTCTAACTTTCAATCCAATGAAGTGCAAGTTCATGGTTGTAACACAAAAGAGGAAGTCAATGAACCCACCAACTCTGACCCTTGGCTCCCATGCCATTTCTCGTGTCTACCAGTACACCTACCAAGGTACTGATCTCTCCTGGCGTGAGCACTTCATGCCCTGTGTACATAAGTTAAGAAAACGCTGGGTCTCAAAAACCTTTTATGCCAACACATCTCCATCTACGTTTCCCTCATTCGGCCATCTTTGGAGTACGCCTGCCAGGTGTGGACCCTTATCTTACTGAGAAACTTGAGAAAGTGAAGATGTTTGCTCTACATCTCTGTTTTAAACAATGGGATCTTGATTATCCGTCTCTTCATTTTATTTCTGACCTCCCAACACTTGCCACACGGCTGAAATAACCTCTGCACAATGTTCAACATTGTCAACCAGCTGTTACACTTTCCTCAAGAAATGTTTATCCTTCGAACCACTCGTTTACACTTGTCAAATCACTTATATTGTCAGCCTTTTTGTCGGACTAACTCGTACGTTAACTCATTTGTACCAAAGACCTGCTCAGACTGGAACTCACTCCCTCTTTCTAGATCATCTGATTCCTTCAAGTCTTCTTTGAGAGGGTGGTTGAATATGTAAATTCTCAGTATACCAGTCATGCACCATGTACTAGCTTATTGCTATTTGTGTATGATTCATCGATATAGAAAAGAAAAAAAACCGTCGGCACGCCGGGGGTTAACGATGTTAGTGGAAAAGTAGCGTGGGCACCACAATCACCACAATTTGAGAATGGCACACTAATTGAACAACACTAGGGATTATGTAATGTGTTCGGGTGCATCAGTGTGCTCACAAATCTTTTTGTAAACAGGGCTTTGTGTATCCTGTGGCCCTTCCATACTATAAAATTGAAGGATTGTAAACCCTCGACGCACATTCGCAGCGAGGGTTACAGTACTTGGTTTGTAAGTGTGTCTGTCTGTCTGTTATGGTTTTCTGCGACTACGCGCGAGACAACATAATCGATACAAACGGATTCATCGGCAAAAAGGCTGCGTTCAAAAGTTATGGTGTGAAAACCAAGTGAGCAAGCCAATATGCGAATTAGCACAGGCTTACCTCGACCGGGTCCCGTTTGCTCTGTGAATCTTGAAGGCACAACAAGCCACAACGAAGGGCGTGTATCGACTCCCGCATGCTATCTAGCTAGTCCGTGTCAGACTCTCCGCGAGCTATATTATACTAGCGGGAGACCACGAGTAAACGCATACTAAAAGCCCAGCCCATCAACTAATGGTACCACGCAAGCACAGTTTGCCAAGGGTTTGCACTTAGTGCTTTTCATTTTACTTGTCACACAACCTATGTGTAAAAGTAGGGAAACAAAATGGCAGACATGGGCATAATAAGCTCTAACAAATTGTAGGTAAGCAGGTTTAGAGAGAGGATTCTTTCTTTTTATCATACCCAGAGGGCTAACTTCCGTTTGTATTGTAACTCCTTGTCCATGTCATAGTGCAAGATGAGAGATTAAGTGGACGGACAGAGACTTTACTAGGAACTAAAACCCTTTGGTGCATGAAATATTAATTTTGAGGGCATAGTACCCATATGTCTGACATTAGGAACTCCTACCGTGGTAAATCAGTATGAATTTTGATTGTGAGAGGACCCAGCATAAGCATAGGCACAAATAACATTCACAATTTATTTAAGCCTGGGGTTGTTTTTTTTACTGTTCACAATCATGGTTCATAGTACTTTGTGTATCTAATGCTCACACTAGCTTACAGGACTTGATATAAATGTGAACAAATTAACTTGCATGCACGCACCAGGGATTTCGCTTAATAACTAATGGCGGCCAAAATTCGTGCGACCGTAATTGGCCTACAGAAGAATTTATCGAAACTGGATATACATAATCTGCAGACTTTGGACTTAACACCGATGAATCCAGTATAGCGTATATAGTATAGCGATATACACCGTGACTAAAGAAGAACCATGGATTATTTGTGGGCATTTTTCCAATAGAACCGTTCATAGCCAACCATACAAACATAGAGAGCAAGGTAGCTATATACAGTAAATCCACTTTATCGTAGCAACTGGTTTATCAGCCATCACCTGTAGGGTATGTGTCAGATGTCCATGTGCGCAGGGATAGACCTAAACCGTGAGCATGTTTAGCTAAATTCTACAGCAGAATCTCTGATAAGGGACCCCCCGAGATAGGGACGACCTCTATACAAAAGAACACTTGGTTCAACCATACTTTAGTGTATTATTTGACCTCCAAGACAGAGACGACCTCTTGGCCACATAGCATTGGTCTGTTTTTTGGAGGTTCCACTGCATTTGTACATGCAGGCCATGTCCAATATCCCCACATCGCAATGCATGAAAACTCTGTGTTGCATTTAATTAACCCTCGGCGCGCATGCGCAGCGAGGGTTACAGTACTTGTTCTGTCCGTCTGTCCGTCCGTCCACGTTTTCTGCCACCACGCGTGACAAACAGGTAAAATAGCGACACCAACGGGTTCAGCGCTACACCCACTTCATTTTTAAAATGCTGATTTTTGTAAAAGTGCCGCATTCAGAGAGTTATGACATGAAAACCAAGTCAACAAGCCAATATGCAAATTAGCACAGGCTTACCTCGACCGGGTCTGCTTGCTCGTGTACCTTGGAGGCACAAGAAGTCACAACGAAGGGCGTTTATCGACTCCCGCATGCTATCTACTACTGTAGCTAGTCCGTGTCAGACTCTTCGCGAGCTACTCCGCGAGTAAACGCATACTACAAATAGCCCAGCCCATCAATTAGCGGTACCGTGCATGCGCAGTTCGCCGAGGGTTTGCACTTTAGTGCTTTTCATTCTTAAAAGCAATCATTAAAAACAAAGGGAGCTAGCACACTGTATACCAATGGCTATGTACAAAATGGGTCTGGATTTGCCAAGGGAGACATGATAGCACAATAAATGTACTGTACATACCAGGTTTTTCACCCACGTTGGAAGCCAAATATACAGTGGATCCTGGTTAATATCATACCCACTGAGCATCCAAAGAATATGATAATATGCGGTATATTCTATGACGCCCGGTGTATACTGCAGTGGGTTTACTGTGTATACCAATGTATATGTTTAACTAAGCTAATCAAGCTAGGCTAGCCAAGCTGTTTACATAAGCTAATGAAGCCATTTGGAGAATGGAGAGTCACAAAACTCCAGCCCAAGGTTGTAGAATGCCTAATTATGCATGTGCAATTATGACAATACCTGACAAAAACCAAATTTGCTCAATCTTTCTATGGATAGACATTAATTCTATAAAACGGAGTAGAACGTATGGGAAATGGTTTTGGATTACACGTTTGTATGATAATAAACGGGATATTTTATTAAACGGTATGATATTAAGTGGGACCCACTGTAATTCAGACAGAAAAATACTCTATTAAAATGTGCATATATATATATTGACACCTCGCTGGTAACAGACAGAGGCAAGTATGCAGGAATACGATGCATGGGCGTACTCAAAGGCGCCGATAGTACCATAAATGCCATATTACGAACGACCGTTCTGTTTGGAAAAAAGAACAATTTTGAATTTTCACACCAGAAAGCAAGGTAAGTGCTTCAAACATAGTTCATAGCTCTCTAGATGCACCAGACTACCTCCGTCTCCACTGCCTATACGGGCAAGGCGGGAGTGCACACTCACTATTTCTGCATGCAGAATAGTCGGTCCTTCTTGCTTACTAAACTTTTGAAGCCATCAGTGTCGTGCACGGTAAGCAGCAGCTACTGTAAGCTGAAACAGCCGCCCACTTGTGCTTAAAGAACTATTTATGCTCGTATACATTGAACTCGGATGTGGTCTTGAACCACACTCAGCTATGCCTCGTGCCTTATCAGCTTCCCAACCACATTGTCGTTCAATGATTCTCGTGCAACAGTGCTTTAACAAGTACTTACAGTACTCTTCATTCCCGTGACCCATTGCTCTATGCAAAGAGCATTGTGGACACACATATTTGCACCTAAATCTCATTAAAGGTTGCGACTTTATGTGGCAAGAAATCAAGAAAGACTTGATACTTACTTAATCGTTACTACACATAGGCAAATAGGCAATAATTATTAACGCTCGGCACGCATGCACAGCGAGGGTTACGGTGCTTGGTCTGTGTCTGTCTGTCTGTCTGTCAGGAGCTATTCTCGCACTACAGGGTTCAAGGCGGCCCATGGGCGATATAAACGTCTTCAGAACTACGCGAAACTGAAAATAATTAGGTGACTTTCCTGAAAAACTGCGTTCGAGAGCGAGAAAGTGGCACGGTCGCTGACCTGTACTACTGTAGCTAGTCTGTGCCTGACTCTCCGCGAGCTACTAGCGCGAGAAACGCATAGTGATAGCCCAGCCCATCAAGTAGCGGTATGATGCATGCGCAGTTTGCCGAGGGTTTGCACTTTAGTGCTTTCTCATAGTGCTTGAAAATTTCTTCAGAAAAAGGCCACCTAATTTCGTAACTGCACAAACTGCTACGAGTATTTTCAAGAATGAAAAGCACTGAAGTGCAAACCCTCGGCGCATTGTGACACGCATGCGTAAGTAAACGCATGCGCCGTACCACTAATTGATGGGCTGGGTTTAGTTTTCGAAGTGTTGGGTGAATCACTTAGAGGTAAACAACAACAAAGTAAGCATTGAATGGATTTGCATCAAACAAAACAGTGCTTCCCGCTGAAATCTATAGACAGAACCTAGTGGGTAATCGTGTGAGCACAGATGTAGAATGAAAAATGGAGCATCATATTTAAATGGTAAAGTGCAGGTGCAGGAAGAACAAATAATATACTACAACAAATGAGCACATGGTATAAGAAACAGCCATAATGGACATGAGCGGTAGTAGCGAATTTGGTGGTTTTGACAATGTTTATAGGCCTTGATTTCACAAGCTCACCAGCAAATTGATATTCCCACTCCATATAATCTCCATGTGAAGGAAAAACAGCGTGAGACTTTGCCGGGAACAAACGGTTCTTTGCCATTATGCACAGTGGCTTTCTCGGCACACACAGGCGTTTTAAAGCCAAAAACGGGTGTCACCCCTGCGTGGAAGTATGTAATGCTCAGAAGGTGGCCACACCCATTTTTGTGCTCGCTAGAATATGCTTCCTTATACCGCAGTGAGCTCCCAGTGAAGTCCCGCACAGGTTTTCCTTCCCATAGAGAGGAGGAATTTAAGAACCTGAAAAACATTTTAAAGTATATAGTAATATTCTAGCCATGTAAGTGAAATAATTATTTGATGAATATTGTCCACGCCCATTATGACCTGCCTTTAACTTGATAAACGTTCGCAGCAATGATAAATCCAGTTCTCCGAGAGTTCCTGACACAGCCCATTAGGAGAAAAAGACAGAGGTTTCTTGACTAGACCTGAACCTGAACCACACAAAAATGCAGACAAAGACGCATTTTATGCAGACACAAGAAGACATATTATATAACATTCTTACACAGAGCATATGTGATTAAAATTTTAAACCTAACTTCCCAGAAACACAAGCCTGGAATTCACTACAAGCACATTACATGTGACCATGTAAGGGGAATGTAAAGTAGGCAAAAATTCTTCCTCGCCATTACGAAGGATATTGGGTCAGAGGTATTTTTGCGAACCAAACCAAAATATGTAACAGTTGTTTGACTGTCTTGGTGCTGTTCTGTACGTACTTTAGTTTATGAGGCAACATTTTGTGATGGTGGCCCTGACGAGTAGTAAAGAATTTTAAACTGCATGAAAACTAACAGCTCAGGCTATACAGAGAAAGAAAGAAGAAAACAGATCAGACAGAAAGGATTGCGACATATAGGGCTTCAATAGGAAAAATGGCATCCGTGACAAGTAGTAGAAGATATCACATAAGTCAGCAGAGTCAGCTAGCATGACTTACTGGTCTTGAGAACAAGGGATGGCGGGTAAAGAGATCTTTTACCACCACTGAACTCTACCCACTCACCCAGCCTTCTCATAGTGATACTGCCCAAGAGTATAGCAAACACACCTGATAATGACGAACTTTGCACACATAACTGACGAGAGCTTTAGCGAGCAATATATCATATATAAATGACCAGCAGTAAGCTGACCGAATGCAAGGCCATTAAACGTGGTCTTGCGTAGTTACATGGTTTAGCACTGAAGTGCAAACCCTCGGCGCACTGTGCTGTGACGTGCACGCGTAAGTAAACGCATGCGCAGTACCACGCTAACTGAGAGGTCCTGTCATATCATGGCTCCCTGGACTCATCTCCCCCCTCCCTCCTATGTACCTCTCTCCTCTCACTCTCTCTGCGAAAGTTCTCCAACTCGTCTTCTTTTTCGGTCTGCTGTCAACAGTGACTCACTACCGTGGCGATGAACCAGCTACAAGACTTCGGTATCAACCATGGGCTCCCTAAGTCCGAATTCATACATCATCTGGCAACTAACTCTATCGAACACCTAAAATCCCTCCGTGAGTATCTGTTTGTTGACGCCTGTAAGGCGAACCTAATTCCCCTAGAGCTCCACGGCCTGCCTCTTGTCGGCAGGCGTGACACTGTAACTCGTCCCGCCTCTACAGCCTTAAGTGAGGACATATGGACTATTGACACCTGTATCACAAATAAAACGGTACTACCAAGAACCATGATGAAGAACGGGAAAAGAAGCAAGCAATTTCTAATTGATGCCCCCCGTACAGCACCGGCACCCACCAGTATCTCCTCCCCGCCAGGTCAACCCCCAGGCCAATTGTCTTCTGGTACACCTACCAGCAACAATGAACCCCCAGTTCGTCTTTATCCAGTCCAGGAGTCCCAGCTCGATCAGTCTCCTGTCCACCAGTTACCGTCAAGCTCTGTTTTTTCAAATTCCTTCATCTCCAGAGAAATAAACCATCTGAAGGATGAGCTGAGGTCTCTTAAGGCTGATATCGCGAGCATAAATAGGAGACCACCAGCTGTCTTCCCGTCCGAGTTACAACGACAG